CTCTCTCTTTCTCTTCCCCCTCTTTTTGACGACATATTAAACAGCGTGAAATTAACCCAGCGTGTCAATTTCCGCATTCTCGAATACGCCCGTGTGGTCCGTGTGCATTTATTAATCCGCGAAGTGCATTTATCGACACAGAACGAGGTCAGTGTTATGTAATTACCCCCCTGTTCTCCTGTCATGGACAAGTAATCGGCAGGTGTGAGTTTACATAGCGTGTTGTGCGTGTTGCCACTGGTTTATACTCACTGTTCACACTGTGGGCATGCGACGTTATCAGGAGTCTATTGATAGACTCCTGACGTTATGTAATGTATTAACGTAACATTCATAAAACTGGTGTTTTCTCAGTAAATAACCACTTTGGATATCGCAAGTGTAGCGACAGAGTGCATTTTTCGCCACTGGTAATCGGTAATGGATCAATGGTAACATCATGAAATCGGTTATTTTCTTAGCAAATAGAATTTTGTCTTCACTGAATGATCGGTTACACGTATTGGTGTGATGATCGTCTGCTTACCTAGCACAAGGAGCGGGATACACACACGCACACGCACACCGCACACATCACACACGATCCATGATCGCTTCTACCACCAAGAGTTTGATTACCTAGCACAAGGAGCGGGATACACACACACACACGCACACACCACACCTACACACCGCACACGTTCACACGCACACACACACACACACACACACACACACCACACAAATTCACACACACACGATCCATGATCGCTTCTACCACCAAGAGTTTGATTACCTAGCACAAGGAGCGGGGTACACACGCACACACATGCACACCACACACGTTCACACGCACACACACACCTACACACAAATTCACACCACACACGATCCATGATCGCTTCTAACACCAAGAGTTTGATTACCTATAGCACAAGGAGCGGGATACACACGCGCACACATACAGATTACAGATACGCACACACATGCACACCACACACGATCCATGATCGCTTCTAACACCAAGAGTTGGGAAGGCTTCAAAACACATTCATCGGACGAAGAAATAAACTCAAAACAACAATAATTGAGCACGCTAGCATTTTGTTGGGTTTTACGACGGTGTATTTTTTGTAATAGTACTTTACAATACTGACACACAATATACAGTTTTTTCTTCTATACACGAGGGTACCATGATGAGACTATGACAAAATAATGATAGTAGTACATAATTCTAATGCGTACACGATAAAACTTTTTTTGCTTTTATTTCACACTCTATACACGTGCACCAGACGGGTGGTAAGAAACGGAGGATGTGACGTAACACTAAACACAGATGGCGCCACAAGTCGGGCAGGACACAGTAATATGCAGTAAAATAGTCATACATGTAGATAAAAAGAGGACAAGGCCCGTACACACAGCTGTTAACCCTCGTGTTGCTCTCATGCACCTCATACTGCAAGAGCTGTTCAATTGCACCGCTGCGCGGCGTGACCACACTGCAGCGCCCCCTACACGGTATCGATCAGAACTCAGCGCCCCCTGCGCTTCACTGCCGCATCAAGTCGCTGCGGGTAACCGCCAATTAAAAATGTTTTTGTCTGCGAGTATTGAGAGATTAGAGCAGGACACACGAGGCGGACCCCGACCGACCGACCGACCGACCGTTCGCGGGGAAAAAACGTCAACCCAGTTAAATTTTAGACAAAGTTAAATTAAAACCTTCGCGAAGAGATCGAGAGATCAAAGAGATCGTTCCGGTCGCGACCGGGTGGAAAA